GAACATTTTGGTCCTTCGAGCCGGATCGAAGCGTGTGTGAAGGAAACGGTTCGCGAAGTCAACGCAGGGAAACCTCGGTGGCGTTCAACATGTCCGAGCGAATGGCCAAGCAACGGCTGTTGCAACGCTCGATCGAACGCGCCATGGACAACTTCAAAAAAATTGGAAAGAACAATGTGACTCCCGCAAAGATTCGCACCCGGATCGCATCGCTTAAAGAAGCTTGGTCGCAATATCAAGAAGGTCACGCCACTCTGACGCAGGTGACGCCTGCTGCCACGCAGGCCACATTGGACTACTTCACCCAGGGTCAATTCGAGAGCACCGAGGACGTTTTCACTACAACGTGGGAGTACATGGCGGAGCTGTTGGAGGAGATGGAGCCGATCGTGAGTCCGAACCCGAGCACCTCCGCATCGCGGTTCCCGTCGGAAGCGTCCGCTTCTCTCTATCGCATCTTCCGCCCATTAAATTGCCTCCGTTTGATGCAATTATGACGAGTGGGAACAATTTCGCGATCGGTTCACGGCGTTTATTCACCAAAACAAGGATCTCACGAACTTCGCACGTATGCATTTCTTGTCATCCTGTCTCAAAGGGCGCGCCGCGGAATGTATCGCGAGCCTCTCCGTTACCGCAAACAATTTCGAAATCGCTTGGCACGCATTGACCTCGCACTATGAAAATAAGCGACGCTCGCTAAACGTTCATCTTTCAACATTGGTTAATTTAACGGCTATAACGCGCGAATCGGTTTCCGAGTTGCAAACCTTGCGAGATAAAGTAAATCATGCGGTAGCGGCGCTCAAAAACCTTACTCGAAAGTCGGAGGAACTTTGGAACGACACTCTCGTTCACCTCATCGTTCAAAAATTAGATCCGATCACGCGGAAAGCTTGGAACGTCAAAGTCGGCGATACCGACGATCCCCCATCGTACGACGACCTGAAGAATTTTCTAACATCTCGCGCTCGCGCATTGGAAGATTTTGCGATAGCCTCATCCTCGAAAGCCGCTGTCACGTCCAAAGTTCACACCGCAACTGCATCCGCGCATGCACAGAACAAATGTCCGCTGTGCAAATCTCAACATTTTCTAAATTTGTGCCCTAAGTTTATAAGCAAGAGTGCGAGTCAACGTCGGGAAATTATTAAGCAGCACCAACGATGCTTCAATTGTTTGAGCGCGAAACATGCCGTCCAGGCGTGTCGCAGTAAATATTCTTGTCGCGTGTGCGACAAGAAGCATCATTCTATGCTGCACTCCGACTCGGACTCTTGCTCTAGCTCCTCCGACGCGGCCGCGCTTAATTGCTCGTCGCCTCAAATTGCAGATTCGAAACCGGAAGTCAATTCGCTCCTCGTTTCGACAGCGACGAAAAATCTCTCTCCGATCTTACTCGCGACAGCCTGGGTCACCGTGCGCGTAGCGTCCGGTCGCACCGCGGTCGTTCGAGCGCTCCTCGACCAAGGATCAGAAATGACGTTCATTTCACAAACCCTGGCGCAAACCTTGCGCGCAAAACGCCTGAAGATGCCGATATCCGTATCCGCCGTCGGTGGCATAAACGCTGGTACGTTCCAGCACGTAACAAATATTTTCATTTCGTCGCGGAAATCTCTCGTTCCGTCATTCGCCACAACCGCGCTTATTCTCAAATCGCTGACTTCATATACTCCGAAACGCAATGCGGACATTTCGTCGCTGTCGTACCTCTCGGACTTGCCATTAGCCGACGCGGATCCGACGAGTTCCGACCCTATTAGTATTATTATTGGGGCCGATCTGTACAGCGACATCATCCTGGATGGTGTTCGCAAGGGCGGGCCGGGTACCCGCTCGCCCAAAACTCTGTCCTCGGGTGGGTCATATCGGGGCCCACCCATTCGTCTGCACCAAATGACCGCTCTACGGCGACAACATCTTCTTCGCATTACTCGTTCAATTCCATTTCCGTTCATCACGTTGTCGGCGCTCCATCTCTTGACGTCGAACTTCGCCGCTTCTGGGAAGTCGAAGAACTTCCGCGACAATCTCTTCTCTCGCCTCAGGAAAAGCAGTGCGAAGAGCATTTCTGCTCGACTCATTCGCGCGATCCAAATGGACGGTACGTCGTGCGTCTTCCTTTCAAGGAAACACCTCCTCTCAATATCGGTAGCTCAAGATTTCGCGCCGAGAAATTGTTGCATACGCTCACGCGTCGCTTTCACGACAAGCCGGAAGTCGCGAAGGAGTATCATGATTTTCTATCACAATACGAGCTTTTGGGGCACATGCGGCCAGCTCCGCTACCTCAAAATCAATCCGAACAACTCGTGTACCTTTCTCACCACGGGGTAATCCGGGAGGATAGCTCTACCACGCATCTCCGCGTTGTATTCAACGCTTCGAGCGTTACTTCCAACGGCACATCGTTGAACGACCATTTACATGCCGGGCCGAAATTACAAACAGATATTACCTCCATCATATTACAATGGCGACGATATAAATATGTGTATTCTTCCGATATAGCGAAAATGTATCGCCAAATTCGCGTCGACTCTCGAGATATAAATTATCAGCGCATTCTTTGGAAACCGTTGCCTTCAGAGTCCGTGACCGATTACCAGTTGCTCACTGTAACGTATGGTATGGCCTGCGCGCCGTATCTCGCACTTCGTGTTTTGAAACAGCTGGTCGTCGATGAAGGTCGGAATTTTCCGCTGGCGGTTCCTATCCTTCGCGATAACATTTACGTTGATGATGTCCTGTTCGGAGCCGACGATCCTAATATCATTCGGAAAACGCGTGACCAGCTCATCGCTCTGTTGACCCGCGGTGGTTTCGAGCTTCACAAATGGGCGAGCAATTCTCCCTCACTCCTCGATGATATCGATATCGAGAATCACGGCCTGGCCGGTAAAAAACCCCTCTCTCCTGACGAACGACTGAATATTCTCGGCATCGGGTGGCACCCTGCGACAGACGTGTTCGAGTTTCGCGTGTCGTTGGACAATGGCATCCCGAGTACGAAGCGCACGATCTTATCCGCCATTGCTAAATTTTATGACCCGTTAGGCTGGGTCACTCCGGTAACCATCACGGCTAAAACCTTAATGCAAAACCTATGGCGAATCAAGCTCGAATGGGATGAGCGGATTCCCGAAACTCTCTTGACAAAATGGAGAGAAATTTACTCCCGACTTCGGCATCTCGGCGATTTGCAGATCACGCGCTGGACCGGCATCGGACCGGATACTCGTCATGCGGAAATCCAAGGGTTCGCTGACGCGTCAAACAAAGCCTACGCCGCGGTTGTTTATGTTAAAATAGTCTCGGCGTCTGGTCAAACCACGATTACTTTGCTAATCGGCAAATCGAAAGTCGCGCCGTTAAAGTATACCGCTCAGTATACCGCGGTTGGAATTGTCTGCGTCGGTACTTCTCGCCCGACTTGTTGACTTCGTTCGCGGTTCGAGCGAGTACCGGGACCTTCCGTATTATTGCTGGACGACTCCACCGTCGTGCTCGCGTGGATCTCTCAGCCTCCGTCTCGATGGAAGACGTTTGTGGCAAATCGCGTGAGCGATATTCAAGCGCTCCTTCCAGACGGTGAATGGAGACACGTGCCTACCGAGGACAATCCAGCGGATTGCGCTTCACGCGGAATGCTCGGCAATGAGATACTCGAACACTCGCTATGGTGGCACGGCCCTTCGTGGCTGCACTTCGAAGCTGATAAATGGCCATGTCGCGATACGTGCACGCCTCCGTCGGCTCCTCTTGAGGAAAGAGTTATTTCATTGCAATGCTCTAAACCGCAAGACCAGTGGGATCTCGCTGAGAGGTATTCTTCGTGGCCCAAGTTAATCCGTATCACCGCATATCTCATTAAATTTGTAAGCCTTTGTCGTCGCGCACGCTCTGGTCATAAGATGCTCTCGTCGTCGGTCTCGCCGGCGCTGCCCCCTGCTCCAGTATCGAGTGGTCTTTCGTTGTCTGCATCACACTGTAACCTTGCCAAGACCTTTTGGATTAAACGAATTCAAGCGGACTTATTTCCAACGGACATACACTCAATGTCAAACAATAAGAGCCTCTCGTCGAGAAGCGCGCTTCTCTCCCTTAATCCTTTCC